GTGTGTGTGTGAGTGTGTGAGTGTGTGAGTGTGTGAGTGTGTGTGAGTGTGAGTGTGTGAGTGTGTGAGTGAGTGTGTGTGTGTGAGAGAGAGATCTAACCTTGCTTATATAAAAGTCCATGAAGCCCTTGATAAATCCGTGGTGCTGCAGTGCATTGGTGATACTGACAACAGAGGTGAAGGAAAACACAGCAAACACTGAAACACACACAGATTGGAAACATTAGCACAACTCTCACTCTGCTCTCGTTCATCTCTCTCTCTCTCTCTCTCTCTCTCTCTCTCTCTCCCTCTCAAACTCAAACAGCCCCTCTCTCCTCTCCATCTCTTAGTCTCTGTCTGGCTTTCACTTTCTTTTCCTTGCCAGCTATTGATTTCTCTCCCAAACAGCGAGTTAATGATGGCTCATGGTTGTCCAGGTGAAGGTGGATTTCGATCATGCTCAGACCAGAGGTTCCTCATTCCCAAGTGGAAAAGTCGCCTCGCTTTTGGATTCAAGCATGCATTAGCGCTGGCAGCCGGACAGATAGAGGCTGGAGAAACTTTAGAGGAGCTGAGATCACACATGGATTGATCGCAGCGGGCTGATTTATAGTGGCTGTCCACCGACTCAAGAGCTGTCAATAACAGCGACGCGGCCAGCATGAAAATGCATTGCTCTGCAGGTCCAGAAACATCTCAAAAAGCTCTCAGTTAGAATTTAACTTCAAACTTTGTTTCCAAATTGTCTCCTAAAAAGCTTGAGTACTATTTGAATTGCAGACTTTGATATCTTGACAAATCTGAGCATGTTTTGAGATGCTGTCGAGATCTTTTCCTCAAGAAAAACATAAGCAGAATTGGGCTCATATACAAAACGTCAGTTTGCTACACATTTAATCTTGTTGCTGCACTGTAAAAGTTATTTTTCTAAGTTGCAAATAAAAGATTATTGTATTGTTAAGTTTACGGGAAAAAAATATTTTAGTCTTTCTACTTCAAAATTTCACGTTTAATTCAATGTCTCATTTGCAGTTTCTTTCTAGCTTGTGAATTTCTGATTGAAAATTGTTTGTACATTGGGGAAAAAAAATCAGTTTTCACTCAGAAATTGAAAGTACATTTCACAAACAATTATAAAGAAATGCCCGTTTTTAAGCAGAAACACTGAAAAATCCAGTAACCTTTCTTTTATATACAAATTCTAAAATAATTTTTACAGCATTTTTCCCAGTTTGTCTGGAGAAAATAATTAAGATATTAAAGAGATCCCATTTGTGATTTTTCTTTCATTTAGGGTATTTTAGGGTATTTTTGTATTGTTGCATTGCGTCTTCATCTGTCAGTATTGGTCTTACCGTAGAAGAGCGGGTCGGTGGATTTTTTACTCTTGACGCTGAGGTTTGCCAGGAGGAATATTGTTGTAAGAACCATAATGCCTATTGCCAGTATAACCTGTGGACTGAACGAGAAAACACATCATTTGAAACATCAGTTTGAGTGCATGCCATTTGGAAATGAGATTATCAGAGGCTCGTTGCATGATCAATGACAAACTAAATCTCACAAAAACTTATCCAAATCATACTCCATCCCCAAAACAACTGGAAAAAATGAATAAATGAATGAGTTATAACTTGCATAAGAAAATAAATGTAATTCTCATTATTGTAAAATGTAATTTAAATTAAATTCTAATGACTGTAATACAGTCGATTTTATTGTATTATATTAAATATGCTGCAATACATTTTTTTAATTAAAACCAGTATAAACTATTTAACATAATATATTAAAATATTTAATACATACTGTATATATTTAATATATAAATATAATATATTTGCATACTTTCTAAATAATTTACAATTTAAACAATACATCTTATTCTGCATTAATGAAGAATAAAGCCGTAGTTCTGCTGTGTAAATGAGATTATCAGAGGCTTGTTTTTATCTCACATGATCAATGATAAATGAAATCTCATGAAAACTTATCCGGGTCATATTTCACACCCAAAACAAGTTGAAAAATTAGAAGTTATAATTTGCATTTAAAAAATGAAGCCTATTTTAGGACCGTATGTAATTCTAATTATTGTCAATGTTGATTTCCAATAAAATCTTAAGACTTTAATATAGTCAAATGTATTATTACACTAAAAATGTTGCAATACATTTTTTTTATTAAAAGCAGCATGAATTAAAAACACAACATATTTAATATAATAAATATAATACATTTAATATTTAAGTATAAAATATTTGCATGATTAGTAAATAATTTACAAATTAAATATAATATTTTCTGCATTAATGAAGAATAAGGCTGTAGTCCAAGTGTGTACATGAGATAACAATCAAGTCAATTTTAGGAAAATATGTATTTATCATTATTGTCAGTTCATTTCCATTTAATTCTTATGACTTTAATACAATCACTTTTACTGAATTACAGTAAAAAAAAATGCTGCAATAGTTTTTAAAATTCAAATCAGCATAAAAAATTGTAAAAATTTGTAATTAAATTTAATATATTATATGTATATATGTTTAAATTAATATAATATATTTACTATTTAAATATATAAAATATTTGCATGATATGTTAATATATTCCAATAAATACTATGCCTTTTTCTTCAGTATCATGATAAGAATTATGAGGGTGAAAAACTGTACTGAATTTTCACGAAATAATTTCACAATACAAAAAATCTGACTGGCAAAATGTTCTGGACAGCTTTCATGAGATTCACCAAAGAAATCTATGAAGCAATGTCAGCTCATTGATCAGGTCACCTCAGGATGACTTGATGAAATAAAGTAGAGGATGGTTGCCCTCTCTTGGCCAAATCAGGTCATTCAAACCTCAAAAACATTTCAAAAGTCACACTTAACCATAAGATCGATTTTGCATTGTTTCATGTCAATGCAATGTTCTTTAACATGCATTAGCCTATTGTAAAATAATGACATAAGAGGCAAACTTACTCTTGTAGGAAGGACACATGGTTGATTGTGTAGAGAATAAAAGGTGCTGTCAGAGACAGAATAAAAACACTGATCTCTGGAGGAACATCCATTTGAGGAATCAGGAATCCACGAATATGAAATCAGCTGAGCTCTATTTAACTACACAAGCAATATATATAAAAACAACAACAATAAATAGCTATTAAATAGCTATTGGATGAAATATCTAGAAAGTGTAATAACGCATCCAGTGCCTGCGGCTGAAGTGTGCAGTTGCTCTGTGTCGCTGTGTGTCGTGTCGTTCACTCAGAACTAATGAGGATGATGGAATCAACATGAAATCAGCGCAAACCTTTCAAAGTCCACGGACTCTGAACTATTACCGCCCATTAGTTTACAGAAAGAGTCCCATCAATAAACCTCCACATGCCACAAACACACTTCTGACTTTACAGACATTTATCATGCCAAAATATAAATGTTTCCAAAATACCATAGTTACAGTTTTTGGTTACAGTAAATACAATATGATAAATTAGTATTAGCCACCACGACTATCATAAAAAAAAATGAAATAATAAATAAATAAAAACATAATCACGACAGCTGTTTAAGTTCCATATTAGTTATTATGATTTTACAGTCCACTTTTCCACAAATATGAACTACCATATTATTATTTAAATAATTACCCTATTTTAATTTTATTATTATTATTTTAATAATGCAATATGTAAATGCGATATATGTACATTTTTCATATATATAAATAAATACGCCGAATATATATATATCCAAACAAAGAGCACACACACACACACACTTTTGGATTTTGGACCATCTTTTATTAAATTATATTTGTGAAAAATATTTAAGGATCGAAAGATCCCCCACACATATATATATATCCTCCTGAGACCCAGCTATGGAGTTTTTGCCCTGCAGTGGACATTATATTTTAGTGAATTTCTCTGAGACCTCACATCAGGACTAAAAGCATGTCTATTATATATTTTGGGAGACAAAAGAATTGAATAGGAAAACAAATTATATATCAATATTCTTATGAAATATTAGATATTATTATGAAAATCTGGCTAATTACTACTCCCATTATTACACTTCATGCTGTCCCAACAGCACTTTAATATGCAAATTAGATACAGTGTATAGATAACATTGTGCTTAACCAGTTTATGGAATTTTTACACACATATTGCATAAAGCAAAATGGTATATCAAATCATTTTGTTATATATTTTATAACATAGTTGAGAACCATCCTTAAACAAAGTTAGGTATAAAAAAATCCTGAAACCTAAAAATTGATTGGTGATTTAAAAAAAATGCCCATTGTTTTTGCCTTTTCATGTTTATTCTTGTCATTTTATTTTTAGAAAAACTGAGTGCTGGTGTCCTCTACAGAGGACATAGCATAACTTATGAATAAAATATAATTTTTCAAAAATATTATTTTACCATTTTTTTCTTATGCTCTGGCAAACCAAATGAATTATTGTTTTCTTTTCTTTTAATGCACAATTTGTTTTATGCACCTAGCGTAAAAAAAATCTGCAAGCGTTACGTTCGCTCTCCGCGGTGACGTCAGCGGAAGCGTCCGCAGTCTTTCAGATCAAGATGGCGACGTCGACCAGGAAGTAGGTAAACAACCGTACAGGAGTAGAAAATATGGATTAACCCCTTCAAACCGCGTTTACCGATCAAGAAAAACCCAGATTGAGTGGTCGTTAGTGCTCGTGGAGGGGTTTCGCAGACAGGGGGGTTTAATTAACGCGCGGTGAGTGAGTTTTCTGTCAGTTTAGCATGTTAGCACGAATCAAACAATAGCGCTCCATTGAGTCAGTCAGAAAAACGCGCAGACCGTTGATAAATTCGTTAATAAATCAATTCTGTTAATCTATAACAATCAGTATGAGCTGGTAATCATATCAAAGTGATGTGCTTGAGGGGTCAGTGCTGTTTGGTTAATGGTTTTCAGGTTGACAAATGCTCAGATTATTTTTTATCATAGTCTGATTTATAGTTAAACGTTTTTAGTTTGATATTATATTTTTATTAAGGTTGAATTAGTGACAGTTTGTATTATAGAGCTCAGAATAAAACTGACACACACTTACATTGTAATTTCCCTCAAACTGTCACATAGACGAGGCCTGTATCACATATTTAATATATTATATATTAACCTATTAGTCCTGTCTGTCTGTCTCGCATTCTATTTGTTCATCTATCTTTCAGTTAGCTTTCTATCTGAAATAAACTGCTTTATTTCGTATATATAATATATAAAGACCACAAAAAGGGCAGGTTTTTTTTCATTCAGATCATCTGGTAAGATGACAATGTATTATACATTATGTATATGTATTATACACAAATATATATAATACATATGCATGCATTTTATCTGTATCCGTACATTTTATCTTGCTAGTTATCACAGCCATTCAGTAATAGGTCAAATAAACCTGGAAGGCTCAGGTAATCAGTTGTGGATGCTTATAGCATCACCAGCATCATATGATCATGCATTCTGCTTTATCATCAGTACAAGACAAATTTCCAGCAGGACTCTTCAGTCTGAATTATAGACACTGTAACAAATAGATTATTTTTGATGATTATCATGCTGACTTCTCTCTCAGAGATGGCTGGAGAATGACAGGGGTTTGACACATGACCATGTTTCTGCTCGGAGCCTGATGCCCACTCTTGCCACGCCTGTTGTCATGGAAACGGAGGACTATCTGCACCCTGAAGGCCCTCAGCTGGGGAGCCCAAAGTTCAGCGCTCCCAGTCCTCCTCTCACAAGTTCCATGGAGGTACATACTGCACTTTACAATGTCTGAACAACATTAAGACACACTTTAATGTAAATGTTAAGGTTACCCCAATACAAAGAGTCTCAGGCTAAAGGTCTGCACGTTTGAACTTCAATCCTGAACCTTAGACTCAGATGTTAAGACCAAACCAGATTGCACTGTTTCTCTTAATGAGTGAGTAGAACAAGGGTCATATGGGGGAAAAAAAGGTATTTTTTTTACATAAAAAAAATGAATTTGGCCTATTTTGGCTTTTTTTATATAATGATGTTATTTTTTTTATGTGATTTAACTGATAATTGTACTTAAAAAAAAAAAAAAAAGAGGTTAAATAATGTGATTTTGTTGTTTTTAAAGTAATGCAATTTTGGGGAAAACAATTGCTTGATTGTCATAAAAATACCATATGTTTGTATATACCTTGTTTAATTTTGCTGTTAAGTTTAATTTCTTGTGAAATATCATTTTTGGACAGTTTAAATGTACCTTAAAAAAAAAAAAAAAAAGGTTAAATAATGTGATTTTGTTGTTTTTAAAGTAATGCAATTTTGGGGAAAACAATTGCTTGATTGTCATAAAAATACCATATGTTTGTATATACCTTGTTTAATTTTGCTGTTAAGTTTAATTTCTTGTGAAATATCATTTTTGGACAGTTTCTGTAATCCACCTAGGAATCACAAATGCTCAGTACAAAATTAGTTAAAATTACAAACTTTAACCCAAATTGTGTGGAAAATTTATCATGAAAATATCACAATGCAAAAAATCTTAATGGTCCTAAATATAGATGTTTCAGTTTTTATATATTTTTATATAATTTCCAATTAACTTTAATTGTAAAATTAGTAAAAAAAATGAAAGAAAAACATTTATTTATTTACTTTTTCATGAGCCTAAATTTAGCTAAATAATTTCATTAAAAAAAATGTAATGTCCTAAAAACAGGCTTTTCTGTTTGTATATGTTTTTATATAATTTTCCAATTAAATTACAAACCGGAACCCAATACAAACTTGAAACTAGAAAATAACAACTCTCCCAAACCTTTCTGAATCCAGGTCAGGCTTAGGTTTGATAGCAGATTGAACTCATATATACCTGTGTATTTGATTCAGCTCTTTCTAGTGTTATACTTAACAGATTTTCTTAATCTGATTAAATCTGCAGTTTTGAACTCTTCTTCATCATTATTGCTCTAGTTGGTCTTGAACCTTGTCCAAAATGGGATGGATCTGGAGTGCTTTGGTAGCCAATGGTAATCATCTCTCTAGAAACAGTAGCCTCACGTCACCTGGTTTATGGTGGTTTAACTGTTGGTCTTCGCTCTGTACGTGCACGGTTTGTGTCGGGTCTCACCGTGTCAAGATGAGTCACTAGCACTGCCAGTAAATATTTGGGTTGATGGGTAATATCTCTGCTGAACAGTGTTTTCAAAGGGCCACTTCCTGTGTCAAATGTGCTGTTTATTTCCTGTTTCCCCAGAGTCAGCTGTATCCGTCAAACTCATGGACGTACCCACAGCAAACTCAATACAACCAGCACTATCCTATGCAATCTGGGAGGTGAGTCGCGCACACTCTCAACGAGCAAAAGCAAAAAGCATGCATTATACATAAAATGAATTGTGCATTATTTACAGTAATAATAATGTATTGACAATAAATAGTCAACGCAGTGTTTTATTCCTTGCTGACTGCATGCAAAATGAACATCCTGTCATTTTCCCTGGAAGATCCAGTTATGGTGATTTGATTAAACATTACAAGATGCAAAATATTTAATTTCAAAGATATACATGGATTAATTGTTCACAATAATATGCATTAAGAAAATATAGGTGCATTTTTATATTCTCTAATGTCTTTACTGCAATTCAGTTATAATATTGTGTGCATGCTGAACATGTGACATATGCACTTTATCATGAGTTAGTTGATTATACTTATCCATTATGTATTTAAAAATACAAAGCTGATTATTCTCTAACATATATCAATGATCTGATTTGAAATATTCTAGAAGTGAAATGTTACATAAAAGTGACGGTTCGGCACCTACCTTGGTTTTGAAGTTACGATTTGGTACATTTTCAGTACAGAAGGGGGAAAAAAACTACACATTAAATTGCTTATTTTTTTATTTTGTATTAAACAGTGGTTTACTGATCACATTGTGTCTCTGTCTTTAAATAAATTCAATTATAATCATAATTTTCTTAGGAAAAAAAAACATCTATCTCAGCTAATGCTGTAACCATATAGGAAGCCCTATTACTTGCACATTATTATAATATTACGTTCCAATTAACACAAACTATACAATTCAATTGCTATTTATTATTAGATATAATAATCAACACAAAACAGCATTTATTGTTTGAATTTCCTGATAAAATGGACAAAAGATGACAATTTGTTTCTTATCGAAAGTAACAGAAAAGTAACAAAACTTATTGCGATTATTGGACGGGAGGTTTGTTTGATTTATTAGACAAGTTTTATACAATTGTACAAGAAAGCCCCATATACATAATCAAAACAACATTTCAAAAACTGCAGAGGATAACATACATAAAAAGCCATAGGCTTATTTCCATTTCCACAGTATTTTAATGTCTAGTGTAGTTTTATTCACTCATCAACTGAAACAGCATAGACTAAAAGATTGATATTGGGATTTAAGAATCATTATTGATCCATTAAAATTAAGATATATAAAACTTGGAGTTTTAAATGAAGTTACAGACCTATACAGCAAGTTTTCAGTATGAATAATTGTATCTTTACACCCCTAAACTTGATCTGTATTCTAGTAGTATTTGAAGGCATTAGAGACATTCTGCTCTCTGTGTGATTGTTCCTGACCTCTCTCCTCTGATTTATCAGGCAGCTCCAGCCGAACCCGTCCTCGGTAACACTTGACCTGCCTGACATGGACTTTCATGACCTTGTGCGGAACGGAGATTTCTCCCAGGTAAGAGCAGATCCCGTCTCTTTTGATTTTTGCTGTAGTGTTGGTCGAGGTTGAACTCACCAGAACCATTGATCCGTGCAGTGTAAAAGCGCAGGTTTGAATAGCTGAAAGCACAGCGTACAATTATGATGATGAAGCTGTGGCATTAATGCAAACACATTAATGAGACTTTCAGTTCAGTGCCGCCACAGAATGCTATTTGTGTAATGAATGAACTGAACTGAAAGTGAAATCAACCAAGGTCTCTTTCATGAATCATGATTTGATTAAAAAAAATAAAATAATTAAAAACAATAAAAAAATGTAAAAGAAAATATATATATTTTTGCAAACGGGTCATGTGACATGACAACAATGTTGCATACTGTTGTTTGACAGTGTTATTTTAGTTATTTTTCATTTTACTTTTGAAATGTTAGTAATTTTGTTGTTTTTTGTCATTTTCATTCGTTTTTTATGTCTGTGTAGTTTTTTTATTGATTCTAATGTCCGTTTTAGTTTTTAGCACACTAAGTTAAACTAAACGAGAATCTTTGCAACTAGCTGAAATAAAATGTTTTTTTTTAAAGCAAGTTAAAGTTTATTTTATTTCATGAAACATAAGTTTTTTTTTCAGTTTTTTGTTTTAGTTAACTGTAATAACCCTAGTTTGAAATGGTTAGTGTTGCATGCTGTGCACAGTTTCACAATCTTATTAGAAATAGTAAGATTTATAGTATTCACTGCAGTGTATTCTCCATTCTCCTATCACTCTGTGACGCATGGAAAGTGATTTTATATGAAGGAAAGAGTTTATGCTCCCTGTGCATGAGAACATGGAAACTATTTAGGTTTGCCAGCTAAAAGTTTCCAGCTTTATCTTTGATTGTTCAGTCATCTTTATACAGATCTTATCCACATAACTAACGCTGAACTGAAATGTTTGCAAATGGAAATATCAGTTATATGCTGCTTATATTTTGCTGTTCAGGCACATACTCGCTATTTGAATACTATCAGAAGCCACATACAGCTGTAAACACTTCTTAAAGCACATGCAGTAAAATTAGGCTCGGCTGCCTGTAAATATGAACACAAAAGCATAATTTCCTGACCGAAGACCACCACACCCCAGAGCAAACACACGCTGGATTCAGTGTTACCCGTTGGAAGGGTATTTTAGTGTATCTTTCACCACGTGCAGGTCAGACCCTCATGGGTAGGTGCAGCGTTGAAGTGAATTTGTATGTGCATCAGTTAAGCTAATGCTTTTCTCAAATGAAAATCTTTCTGGCACTCAGTTGGATGCCAACGCTGTAGTTTCATACTCTGAGATAGGACAGCCCTTGCTAAAGGTACAGTTTTGGTTATTCATCTGCATCTGTTTACAGATATCTTTTTATTATAGGCTGCTCGATGCATTCAGGTGATCTTGTTTGCTTTGGTTGTAACATGGAAATTCGAAACGTAAACCATGATGTTACCTGAAATCTTTCTTTCTTTCTTTCTTTCTTTCTTTCTTTCTTTCTTTTCTTTCTTTTCTTTCTTTCTTTCTTTCTCCATTTACCTCTTTCTTTCTTTCTTTCTTTCTTTCTTTCTTTCTTTCTTTCTTTCTTTCTTTCTTTCTTTCTTTCTTTCTTTCTTTCTTTCTTTCTTTCTTTCTTTCTTTCTTTCTTTCTTTCTTTCTTTCTTTCTTTCTTTCTTTCTTTCTTTCTTTCTTTCTTTCTTTCTTTCTTTCTTTCTTTCTTTCTTTCTTTCTTTCTTTCTTTCTTTCTTTCTTTCTTTCGCGATGCTATTGTTAATTGGTTACATGATATCTTTTAATTATTTTTTATATATTTGTTACTTTGTTTGGTTATTTATTTAATTTCATTTGTGCTGATACTCTTGATTGGTTACCTGAAATATTCTTTCTTTCTTTCTTTCTTTCTTTCTTTCTTTCGCGATGCTATTGTTAATTGGTTACATGATATCTTTTAATTATTTTTTATATATTTGTTACTTTGTTTGGTTATTTAATTTCATCTGTGCTGATACTCTTGATTGGTTACCTGAAATATTATTTCTTTTTTTCTTTCTTTCTTTCTTTCTTTCTTTTTCTTTCTTTCATTCTCTCTTTCTTTCTTTCTTTCTTTCTTAATTTGTGATGCTACTTCAGCAGTATTATTTTCTCTGTCTGATATTTTATTTACAATTGAACAGAAAAATATTTATAAATATTCTAAATTTGTTATGAATTTTATTTATTTAAATAACTTCTGATCGTTATATCAATGTCAGATTGTGGTGTTTTTAATCTCTTAGTTTCAAAAGTTGTAAGGATGTGTAAAATGTAAATAAAAACAGAATGCAATCATTTGCAAATCTCATGAACTGGTATTTTATTCACAGTAGAACATAGTTATAAAATATATTTACAAATAACATTCATTTGTTATAAATTGTTTTATTTAAAGGCACAATATGTAAGATTTTTTTATTAAAATATCCAAAAACCACTAGAACTTTCAGCCTCACCCTGCTTCATTCTACTACGTTAATAAATCATTAGCTCATCCATGAACATGATTTCTGCCCGAGTCCCGTCGGATTGCATCGGCTGTGGGGATGAAGACCACAACTCCCATGATTCCACACTCAGTCACGACTCACGGGGTCATCAAATTACGCCTTTGTCTATTTGTTTATTTTGAATACGTGCCCTCTAGCGGCGAAAATTACATATTGTGCCTTTAAATAACTTCTGATCGTTATGTCAAAGTCAGATTGTGGTGTTTTGTATAATCATATGCTTTCTGAAAAAGCCCATGCAAAGGGAGTTTTTATACAAATGTGTTTGCATTGAAAATATTGTAGGATCCTTGAGTTCACAGCTGATTGGTACCTTACTAGTAAACATTATGAGTTGATTTGCAACTTCCCTTCCAGTGCAGAAAGTCTTGAGCTGTTGTGACGTGATTTAGGATGATAAATCACAGTATAAAAAACAGTGTGTGATTCAGCTACTGCTGTGAGTTTACGTCCTTTATTTCAGCATCTTGTTCTGCAGATACGAATTCTTGATGTGTTTGGACATTTCTGACCTCTCTCCTCATTCCTTCCTGTCCAACAAAATGTGCTGTTATTGTCCCGTCATTCAGTCTTGACCCTGCTTTATCTCCGCTAAATTACCCGTTTCACTCTCGCAAATGTAAAAATTACACAACTGGGTGTAATGATTTAGATGTTTCCAGAATAATACAAGCAATTTCATCATCTATTGAGAGCCTCAGATCAGTTTTATAGCTCGAAATTGAGAGATCCATCCAGTAGAGCACTTTTAAGAGGCTGTAACATCTGCGAATAGGAGATTACAGTATCTGGAATGGGCTTTCATTGGATTGTTGAAGGATTCTGGGTTTGTGAAAGACTCCAGCTGTTCTGTAGCTTAAGCCTGAAGTTTACTGTATAATTGAGGTTTGCACTGTCAGAATCATCATCATCAGGATTTTTTATTTCAGTCCTTATGCATAATTCCATATTAACTATGCATAATTTTACATATCAACCAAAAAAGGTGTAGGCTGAAGCCTTTGCATATTTTACCTAACCTTTTTTCATAATAAGTGGCACTTCCACTGCTAAATTTAATCTGTACAAAACACAAAAACAAAACAAAAATTTCACCTTAAATTAACTTAAAATAAATTAGTACAATTTATTAACATTATTAATTTTGAGTTATATATTTAAAAACCTCATTTTTAAAAATGTTTTTTAATTTGCAAAGTGAACTACATATTTTTAATTTGTTGTTACAGTTATTTCACCCCATTGACAGATATACATTAAAAATATATTTTTATGTTTTTAAATATATTTTTCATTGCCCTACGCTTTGAGTTTATACAGACTCTCTCATTTCAAACAACCTCTGAATACATTTGGCATGTAAATTATTATGTGCTTCATACATATATGTGAAAGTTTGAAATCAACCAGATCATGACATTTTAAAGAATATAATATAATGATTAATAAATTGGTTGATTCATAATAGTTGGGTTGATATACAATCCTTATAGCTTTCTACTGTAGCTGAAAGATTATTATTGATTGATTATTGAAAGAATATTATTGGTAAAAAAATGTATTTCTTTACCATCAGGTATGTTTGCTATAGTAAGGGTTTTTTTTTTCTGTGCAAGCTACTTTAAAGGTGCATTAAGCATTTGCATTTAACCCCTAAACATAGATGTGTGGCTTTGCTTTAATGGTGTCTAGATTTCAATATTTAATTTCTCGTAGGGATAACAGGAGGTAGGGGTGCTCCGATCAGGATTTTTGAGGCCGATCACTGATCACAGTAAGCAGTATCTGCCGATACGATCACCGATACCGATCGTTTTAAAGCCGCCTTTTTATCATGTAGAATTATTCTCCAATCAGGAATTTTAGACATTTATTCAGGGCCTGAATTTCACTTTTGAAAATGAATTCACCTCTTAGGTGACTCTTGTGAGAGGGGATTTTTAATTTGAGGGGTGGAGGGGAGCATTTTTTTTTGACATTTTTCAAATATATATATTTATCTCACCTAAATGTTTGATCATGCACTGTATTTTTGTTTTGACAATCGTGCAATTGTTGCACAATAGCTTACACGCAGCACAAGCCTCATTTCGTGAGCTGTATGTGAGGCGGCCTTTTACACCAGGTTCACACATATTCTGTTTGCAGTGCGTAAGCAGTCCATGTGTGGTACATAAGCGGTGCAGAAGCGGCAGGTGCTCACTGTGCTTTCACACAGGAGTCTGCAACTGATCCGTGGCCGTTTACTACAGACAACATTTATCCATTATTTTGATTTCAAATCCAAACATTGTCACTGACAATGCTTTTTCAGCATTGTGATTATTTTTTTACACAGTCCAGTAATACAATCTTTCACAGACATGTTTAAACACAATAAATATAAGCAACACATTATTCAATGCTATTTACTTTTGCATTTACTTCTAGATTTATATATTAAGTTGCTCAAGCAAGTGTCAAAACATTTAAACTACTTACATTATCACAAACATCCTAAATTAAAACTTACCATTGACAGA